TATGTAAGCCCCATCTCGTTGGAACCCACAGAAAGTACTATATATGGGGTCCTAGGAATAGTTTGGCTCTGTCCTGGTATCTCATTATTGACATGTCCCGCTTATTTCCCTAGCCAGCTTTGCCACACTCTACCTCCTATATCACCAGCATACAGGAAGCAGAAAGAGAAAGGAAGAAGCTAAGGACAAGAATACACCTTTCCAGGTCACATCCCCAGTGAACCACCTCCAACCAGGCTCCTAACACCAAGTCAGCTACAGCTCTGCAGTGATATAAATGCATGAGCCTTGTGGGAGACAGGTTAGATTTAAACCGTAACAACTAGCTTGACTAATTTCTACTCAGGTCACATTTCTTAGAATCCTGTGATTCTAAAATGTTTTGCTTTGGAAATTTTTTGGTTTTGTTTGTTTTTTGGTTTACATTTACTTTTATGTTTCTCGAGGTTCTACTAAAAATCTGTACCTTATGAATTTTATTTAACATAGTTTTTTCACCTGTTCAAATATTCAATTCATTTAACATTTAATTATTCTTTCTATGGTGCCTCATATTTTATCTATACAACAATTAATAATGTTAAGATTGTCAATATTGTACACTAAAGGCAATTTGCATAAATTTGAATTTTACCCAAGGGAAACTCAAAGTTGGAAAAAATAACTGAGTTGTTTCTAGAGTTATATTGAAAGGCATAAGAAGCTTACACAAACTAAGTTTAGGAAGCAGAAATATTGATCAGATGCTTTTTTTGTTGTTTCACTTGAAACACTTTATGGTAAAATAGAGGGAGAATCGTGGGTAAAATTCTAAATTTAAATATTTCTTGGTATTAATAAGGCTGCATTAAATAATAATTCAAAGAAAAGAAATGCCAGTATAAAATGAACCATTAGATTTAGTTGTTTTTTTTTTCCTTTTAGTGCATAAAGAAAACATATGGGTACATATTGAACAACGCCATCACACAGAATGGATGGAGGAGAGAAATGTAAGAAGAAATTTCTCCCTAAATTAATAAAAATAATATTTTTCATGGGGACAAATTTAGCCACAACTTACCCAGTATCCAATTCACTAATTTATTTCTAGATGGTTATGTGTGAATATTTCATTTCCCTCTTCTTTGTTTAAAAATGATATCCTTTTTGAAAAACTGTCAGGTGAGCCAAATTTATTTTCACTGCACTCTGTATCATTTTTCTTGACTTCCCTTCTAATTCCCTTTCAGTTTTTTTCCTGCCACCATCCAAGGTGTTCAGTACTTTTATCATCTTCTAATTTATCCTGCCAAAGTGAAAAATAATTTGATAAATTTCTTTATGTAAAAGTGTGAGGCAATTAATTTTCTACAGGCCTCATGAATATTTGCATTTTAAAAGAAAATTTCAGAGAAAGAACAATGCCTGACCATCATAACATAGTCATTAATTATGAAATTGTAGGTGACTGTGAGAAGATATTTAAAAGTAATAAGGGGACTAGAAAACTTTCAAATCATAAAATGCAGACAATAAGCTTATATCCTGCACGTCACAGAAAATATCTAATAATGTATTAGTAAATATAAGTCTTATGAATATTTATTAAATAAACAAATGATCATACTGTTTGTTTTCACTCCAGCAAAAAATGTAAAGAATCATTTCCTTTTATAAAATTAGAGTAAAAGCAGTACCTTAGACCACTTTGCTGTGATACTAAAGCAGAAAAAACTGTATCAATCAAATATTTAATTTATTCTTGTATATTTCCCTGTCCCTTTTCCAGGTAGGCAAGACCATGTGAAATAGTAATAGCCAATGAAATGGGAGCAGAAATGATAGGTACCACTTCTACCTTGAGGTGGTAAACAGTTCAGACATGATTTTGCAAATTCTATTTTCACTGACTAAGGAAGCTGAGAGTTTCAGACATTAAATATGAAGATGATGAACTGTCCAAAAGCCATTGACATTTTGGGGACATTTGAAGCTCCCCCAGAGCCTAGCTGATCTAAAGCAAGAAGGTAATATATCCCTATTATGAAATTGCCATATTGCCTTGTAGTTGCTTTCTTATATATCTGATATCCCAGCTTAATTATTCACTCAGTATTCATCTTTGTAACTTTGCTATCAAACAACACTTAGAGAAACCATAACACAAGTGTGTCTTTACACTGAAAATTAGACTATAGATATAAAATAATTACATGTGGTGATACATTGAATATAATTTAATTCAGTGTATCTATTTAGAAATAAAACTATACTATGTTGTGTGCTTTTGCTAATGTATAATGACTTAATAATAAGTAGAATTATATTAATAATTATAAAGAAGAAAATATAAGACTGTTAAGAATAATTTTAACTATTTAAGCAAATATGCTAACTAAAGACTCTACAGTAATTTATTTGGATTTTAAAATATCAAGAAATGAGCCAGGGATTTAGCTCAGTGCCATCATGCCTGCCTTGTGAATGCAAGGTCCTGAGTTTGATCTCCTGTACCAAAAAAAAAAAGTAACATTGTCAAAAATGGTTGCTGGTTCTTTATGTTGAGCAATGGATGGTTCAATCTCAATAATCAATATGGCTAATAACCATCATCATGGTACATCTACAAAGTACAAGCCTATACTGTAAGACATGTACTCATTCATAATTAGGTTTCTAAGAATTTTCTACTTCCCAAAAAATAATTAGAATTATTATTTATTTAATGGTGATCAAGTGTATCACATGATATTAAGCAGAAAGCCCCATTTCCTCTTTCAAAAAATAAAAGAAGAAAAAGAAGGAAGAAAGAGAGGTAAGAAGGAAAGAAAGAAGAAAGGAAGAAAGAGGAAAAGTAGGAAGAAAGGGATTCTTTTCGTGAATAAGAAACTAGACATTTGACAAGAACTCCAGTTAATCATACAAGAACATGATCATTAATTTAGCTGACCAGTTCATTTCACATTTCAAATATTTTCCTTCTCCATTTTTATTCACAAATATTACAATAAATTCAGCTCAGCATTAGTTGCTAATTGTATTCAAGTAATATGTAATGGATCCTTTGAACCTATCATCAAAGAGAGTAAACAGACCCAATTCCAATCCTATGATGACTAGAATATTGTTTCAGCACATCTACAGACTGTTTGATAAAAGTTAACTCAGTCCATAATTCTCACTCCTTATATGAGGGCAGCAAGTAGTGTAACACTTGTATAAGTATTTTAAGATGGTCGCATTTGGGGATAATTCTTTTCCCAATTAAATGGATGAGTGCTGTTTCAAATGGAATTCTCCCTATTTTTTCTTATATTTTAAAGCATATCATTAGAAAATTTATTAGCAAATTCTCTTTAGGTTTCAAAATCCATGTTTTTCAAGTTGGCAATTTCCATACATATCCATTTTCCAAGTACTTCAGCCCCTTGCCTTTTTAAATCAATAAACCATATTGACAACATTTTAATTATTCCCTGAATGTGCACACCTGTTTCGATTTTCCTCATTTTCCTATAATGAACAAATTAACCAACTGGTTTCACAGTTAACTTTGCTCTATTCTCTTTGAAGTTCAGCTTTCTCCTCTAAGACAGAATGGGGTCTTAAGTATTGATTAATTTGCAAACAAAATTTTTAACAAAGGAAAGAGGGCTGAAGGGACAGCAGGGGTATGGGGAAAAAATACGAACAAAAATATATCATGTAAAGGTACAAATTCCCAATGATGAATATAATCACATTGTATACCTAAAATGTACCAATAAACTTAATGAAAAGATAAATAAAATATCCAGCTGTGTTAATAATTTTGCAAAGATTAAAACGGTATAAAATTGGCTTTCAAAAAGATTTCTTATTTTAAGTAAACTCACTAATGTTACATTGAAATAAGCATTTCATATTTATAGGCACACAATAAAAGTACAGTAAGCATTTAGATTTGGTCCAAATGTGTGCAATTCTCAATGTTTCTTCTTGAGAACAGTAAAGCCAACATTGGTATCAAACTACAGTATTGATCTACTCAACCTGACTAAAGTCTAGTGTTTTAACTACCTTCATACTCCACAATTTCAATAAAGTTACAATCTGTATGGGAAAAGATGGGAAGGAAGGAAAGAAGAAAAAACAAATCAATAGATTCTGGCCAGATCTTGTACTTTACTACCAGGTATTTACAGTCACTTAATGTATAATTTTATTATTCTGTTGTAAGAAATAGCACATTGCAAAGAAAAGCAGGTGGATAACTTCAAATCCATCCAAAAGAGAATTCTTTTTTTTTTTTTTTTTGGTACCAGGGATCAAACTCAGGTCCTTGTGCTTGCGAGGCAGGTGGTGGAACCACTGAGCTAAATCCCCAGCCTAGAAGAGAATTCTTTTCATGTCAGTCTAGTATTAAGGATAAATTAGATCCATATTTTCTGAATTCTCTATCTAAACTGATAACATTTAGAAAGGATCTAACATACTCAGCTATAGAATATTTGTTTACAATGATTAAAACAAATCTAAATGCTAATTGCTTTAGGCAAAAATAGAGTAAATTTCAGCAAATGAGCAGTTTCTGAAGCCAATTATGCATGTGACATACACACGTACATGTTGATAAAGATTAAACTGAGCTAAAAACACTCATAAACATACTATAATATCTAATAAATGAATATTATAACACAGTACTTATTCGTTCTTTAAATCTGTTAGCTGCTACTATCACCTTTACTTTCTTCAGAAGAAAATAAATTAAAATATGGAGAGAAGAAAATAGATGAGACAACTCCAGCTTGGGTATTCCATAGTTTCAAATCCAAAAATTCATGAAAAATTGAGCAAATATTTAGAGCATAATAGATATCAGAGTCACGACAACCAAATAAGTTATAACATACTAAGGTCCTTAAACTTAGTTCTAAGGTTTTTGGAATTGGTTTCCTACCTCTTTTTAGACAAGGCTGACTTCCAAAAGATGAAGAATGAAACATAGTAAGAAATAAAAAATATAAAATACTTACAACTGATCGGAGGTTATTTTCCTTCACTAGCTTCAGAGATGATTTATAGCAATTTGCAAGGTCCTCCTTGTGGGAACCATTAATATGGCCTCTGGCTATTGGCCCTACAGTATGGATGACATCTATAAATGCAAAAAGAAGGTAAAATAGGATAAGCAAGGCATTTTCACTTTTTACATAACTGGTGTTTTATTTATTTTGGGTATTTGTGTTGGAGCATGGGGAAAGGCAAACTAAAAAGTATTGATGATGCAAATTCTTCTTTGGTAAAAGAATTCAGAAAGTTGAACATCCTACAGCAGGCATTTTCCCAGGAGGAGGAGTTCCCTACCAGCCCATTGTTACTGGTCAGAACCAAGTGGGACAGATTATAACATAAGATGTGCATAACTGGCATCCTGGTAAAAGACAAATCCTTGATGGCAAATAAACTGAGAAATAATTGCCTGCAAAATGAGCATCTGAATTGACATGGGAAGGAACAGCCAATGCAAGACATAACTTTTCTTGTAAATAAGACAGGTTCAGGCATTGCACATAACAAAGAACATGTTTTTTTAAAAATGTCAAGAGAATTTATAGCAATCATAATAATCCTAACAGAATTATTTGAAAATATTCATAGCAATTTTAAAGTGCAACATATCAATCCTCACATACATGAAATATGTTAGGGATAATAGAGCATATGTATTTTAATAGGTTGTTAATCATATTTTAATGGAATACAATGTTCACAAACTAACTTATACTTTTCAAGCCATACTTAGGTTTAAAAAGCCGAAATTTTTCTTGTGTATAAAAAACACAAGGGGCCAGTGATTTAGCTCAGTGGTTCGGTGGCCTGCCTTGCAAGCGCAAGGACCCAAGTTCAATCCCTGGTACCAAAAAATAAAAAAATAAAATGCAAGCATTTTGCTAGTTTTTAAATCTCTAAATGTACATAAATTTTTATTGGTAGGGTGCTAAGGATTGAACCCAGAGCCCAGTACATACTAGGCTAAGAAGCAAAATTTTACTTCAAACTACTTATAATGCCTTATAACATTTTCTAATTTTTTTGTTGGGTGATTAGGTCATTTTTTTGATGTATGTCACAACAACTTATCAATTTTGACCCAAAACCTAAATTTTGAAAACCAAGAGTGGTAGTACATGCCTGTAATCCTAGCTACTGAGGAGGCTGAGGTAGGATGATTGCAAACTTGAGGTCAGCCTGGAAAATTTAGGGAGAACCTGTCTCAAAAAGGATGGTGGTGCTGTGAATGTAATTCAGTGGTACAACACATGCTTACAATGTGCAAGACCTTGGGTTTAATCCCTGGTACCACAAAACAAACAAAACTATTTTCAAATGAGTCCATATTCTGAGGTGGTAGGGGTAAGAATATCAAAAACAAAACTTTCAGTCTATATTATTGTAATATTATAGTAAAATGAAATCATTTGTTTCTAATTAGTACCACTTGGTTTTAGCAATGAGGACAAGAATAAGAGTACATGACAAAAATAAGAATAATATAGTTTGATACTGTGTATGAAATTTGAAAAGCAATTCATTAATCACTAAAGGAAAAAAATCTTGGTTGGTTGCCTACAAAATGTTGAGACTATTATTTGGTATCAGAAAAAACTCCAAAGTATTGGTTTCAAAAATTGCTTATGAAACAATATTTAGACTCTCACCAGGCAATACTGAATATGTTGCCATGTGATTAAAGCAGACAGACAAACTGTACTCCTGAATTAATGGAGATGTTATTGACAGGTAAAAAGAGCTGAAAACCAGGACCAGCCCAGGATTATAACAAGCCTTTATTATGAGGAGGCTCTGCCAGGCTATCTCTGAACAAAGGAGAGAAAAGCAACAAGGCAGAATAGGGAGCTTCTTTTATAGGAGTGGGGTGGGATGGGGTTAGCCTGAGCTAGGGTGGAGTTCAGTGAGATAGTATTAAGGGATTGGAAGAGGCTGTGACATCACTAGGAGGGGCTTGTGACATCACTAGTTGCTAGGAGGTAGCAAGTATCAGGTTACCTTTCTTGGCCTGAAGAGGGGCATGTTAGGAAGAAGACTGTCCTTTGGTGGGAGAAGCCATATTTTAACATGGCATTATGGGAAGGAGGCTGCTATTCCATGTGGCAGCCATTTTAAGGCACAGAGAATTATGGGAAGGAGGGGGCTGCTATTTTATGTAGTAGCCATTTTAAGGCAAGAGACATCTATGAGTTATTTCACAGGGTAGCTTGGTTATAAGTGCTACAGTGTAGACATGGGGGATGAAGGGGAATTATGTTGTACTTAAGAAAATATAGCACAAGATGATAACTTTTTTTGTAATAAAAGTAAAAAGAGTTGAATATATTCAAGCAATACCAGCTCTGTACCCTATGTAATGAATTATCATGTGAATGTGCTATATTAGTTTCTATTTCTTAAATATATGCTAAAATAGAGAAAGAAGAGAGATTGTTCCTAGATTTCCTTTATTTTACCCCTTGGGGCTACTTGTTCATATCTCACTATGTTTATTCTAAATCCTCCATTGAACACAGATGAGAGAACAGAGGAGATAAACACTATAGGACTCTATAAGGTAGTATTTCCCAAAGTTGGGGTAGCAAGTTATGAGTTCAAAAGTCAATTGCATTTGGGAATCAGTGGAAGAATTTAAGTCAAACCACTTACCATAGTGTGGGACTTCTCTGGGCTTATACCCTAATGAATTGTGAATCTTCAGGGGAGTCATATAGAATGCTGTTTCCCAAATACATTTGACTATTGAAACCTGTGTTTTGTAGACTGCCTCATGGGGCTACCTCACAAGTTAACTTTAGGGCAATCTTGTTCCAGGGCTAGTCTCACTGTCAAGCTGAAGTCTATGGGGTTTTTCTTCCTTCCCCATCACCTCTGTCTATCAAACACACACACACACACACACACACACAATCACTCCTTGCCCATTCTGTGGATACTAAATAATGTGTCTACTTGATCAAAGTAAAGAGAAGGCCTGGAGGCATTAATAAGAAGGAAGGCTTTGGAAAAGAGCCAGTAAGAGCCTGTACTGATATAATAAAAACCTTTCCCTTTGCTTTTACTGAGCCATCATTGTCTACATAATTTAAATAGAATTTATGAAAATATTTTTCCTTTTATTTTTTCATTTCTCTATTTCATTTAAAGGTCTGAAGACAAACAGCCAATAAATTAGCCTTCTCAACATCAAAATATTGATCTCTGTATTTTGTGTTGTATATTAAATTTATAGCATCTGATATCAAGTGTTATTACTGACCAACGTGATGACCTCTCAGATCCACAAAACTAGAGGTGAGTCATAGAGGCTTGAAAGGAAATTTCTTTCATTATTTTAATTGTTTGTAATACTTACAACTGATCCGAACCAAACTCCTCAATTTTCTGTTATAAAATACAATCAGGAGGCCTGGCTTCTCTTTCAGTCTCTAAGCTCTTGCTCTGAGTCACCAGGAGGCCAGGTAAAGCCATTATTTAAATGGCCCTTACTTGGTTTCCTCATTTGTAAAACAAATCAGATCCTCAGATGATCCTGTCATTACTTCTGTATTGCATGCAATCACTAATGTTTAATCTTATAATGGAGATAGTTGATGGAATACACAATATCTGGGCAGCTATTGAAGATCTTGTACATAGTAAGTGGCTCAAAAGTTTTAGCTCACAAGGATTCTTTTTAATATCTAAGTATCATGTACTAATCTTCCATAGTACTAGTTTCAAAATCCATCAATTGTGTAAATTTGGACAGTCAGCTATTTTAATTTCAATGATGATTTTTATTAACTGGTATTCTGTTAGAATAGGATTGTTATAGTGGAAAGAAATATGTAAGATATATATATATAT